GTGACGCTAGGATACAGAACTGAATCAGAGTTTCTCCGGGTTCGTTCCTCTCGTCTAGTGAGTTCAACTTCTACAGAACAAAACAAAAACAGGCAAACAAGCTAATCAGAAGAAAAGGAAGTAGTGTTTGCGTAGACCATGACAACATACTACATCATTACTAAGTGTTATGATCTGAGGAAGAAAGATTTGGTGAAAGCGATCAAAGAGGTGTCAACAGATATGGATTTTTTTGTGGTTAATTTCTCAAAAGTGTTGAAAATATACCATTATCAGTTATAATTAACACACATCATACTTTATGAAATCCATGGCGTGTGGCTAGTCACAGATTCCCAAAGTTCATATTACAAAAACATTTTTGAGATTAAAAAAAAAACTAGCATTGGGAGAAGTCGACAGAAGAAGAAATCTAAAGTAGACGTATTAGGGGTAAAATCTAACTCATAAAAAATTCAGTCAGACATTCTAGAAGAATTCTAGAAGAATTCAGTCAGACATTCTAGAAGGGGGTAAGAGTTAATGCATGTACTCCGATCGTGGATTCATACACCTATGGTTCTAGCTATAATTTATGGTTGCGCTGGAGAATGTCAAACGAAACTACATAGTACATAGCACACCGTAGCATGAATTATGGGCCTCTGTACTTTATTGTAACTTTTGACGAATGTATCAATTCACTAGGGAAAGGGCAAGGTTTACGCTGAATTCTAACACGACTGCACTAGTCTCTCACGACCTTTCACTCATCCATCGACTGAACGCTAAAAACGTTTTAACTGACTAAGAAGGGCGGGCGACAATAACAAGAAATCAACTGTGCAACATACAATACCTTGAGCTCCATTCATCAACTCGAGACAAGCTTTCTGATATTCTTCTCCTTCGATGGTGACATTCACCTCCACATCCTCTCCCTCGGCCAGTTTTCTCATCTCACCAGTGACAAAGAAATCGTACAGTCGTTTCTGAAGAGTCCCATCCTGGTATAACCTCCACAGCTTGAACTGTGAGGCACACACAGCCGTCTGTGATTTGAACCAGGTTTGTACCAGCTGGAAGCACACAGCTCTGTACAGCAGCGACAAGCTGCTCATATGAGGACCAACCACTCAAGACCTCCGAGGCGGAAACGATTACTAAACCACCAGCAAACAACTTGAATACAGTCTTCATATTTACCACTAGAGGACAACAAGAACGAGTTATTAGCTAGGTACAACTTAAAGGAACAGTGACAGATTAGTTAGCCTTATTTATTCAAGATTTAATGACTGCAAATGTGAGCCCAGTTGTTCAAGGGAAAGAGAAGCTATCTCAAAGATAATTTTAACAAAAAGTGCTGTACTATCCACTGGTGAGAGAAGTATCCAGAGGACAACATTACCCACCCCTGGATCAACTGGAGCATGCACCATATTTGTAGTCTATATCAAAGTCGTGTCAAAGAGCTCCTAACATTTAACAAGATACGGCCTATCTCCAGTGAGTGAATTCCTGACGGATGATGCAAGAGCCGCTGCTTGTGCTAGAACATAACAAACAGAAAGTCAGCTGGACAAAATTTACAAGTGAACCATCTCTTTGTTGGCGTTCTATCATAGATGACAGTGGAATAAAAAAAGAATCTCTTAAGCACGTAGAGAAAATCCTCGCTATCAGTTGACATCTAAACGCGCTGGTCACGTGTAATTTGTACGAGCACTCACCGGCATACCAGGTTTCGTAGCTGCATAAGAGAGCAAAAATCGTAATTGTTGGTGGGGGGCAAATTAATAATTCATCAGAGCCACTTTGTTTGCCAATACAACAACAGAGTTCATTAAATGTACTAATCATGAAATCTCTGGGTTTGCTTTCCGTTATTTTTTTAAGCAGATGAAAAGGAGTCACTGCCTTGGTTGAGGTGTCAAAGATTCACTGTACAGCGCAGATACAACAGCTGATTAGAGTACGGGGATACTACTCACATAAAAACAATGAAGTATGACAGGTTCTAGGCTTAGGGAAGGAAGAAAAATTGCGTCGAATGACCTGCAAATCGACTTTTTTCGCCGGCATACCCACAAGCAGAATAGATCAATGAATTGAATCTAATTTCTACGGGACCGAAGAACTTTGTCGGATTTACAAAGCAAAATTATTAAAGAAATTTCAAAGGATGTTGGACAACTGAAATTGTAAATTACAGAAACAGCTTGAAATTCGTTCGAGTTACACATGTTCATAACGCTGTGGCTAAGTGACTGGCAGTCGGTCAAAGTTTTCAATACACGAATTGACCGGCAGTCCTACACATTTGGTAATTTGAAGAATCGAAGGAACTCAGCTAATCCGAACCAACATTTAGTTGTCGATTAAGAAGTGACACGCGATCCAAAACACCTTCACAGATCATCGACCTCACGCTTGGTTTATCCTGGGCTCAGAGTACGGAACTATAGTTTGGGAAACTTAATGTGCTTGGGGGAAACTGCTGGTCGAGGCTTTCAAAGCACTAAATGGCCGGAATGAAAAGCCATACGAATCTTAGACCAAAACCGTGATTTAAACTGAAAGCCACGACGTCGAGACAGCGCAACAATTTAATAGCTTGGCACTCGGCATTTGCAAAGTACCTTCCAGTGTAACTAAATGTATGGGCGCTGAATTTGATTAAAAAATGTGTTCTTTACGTGTCCGTAATATGCCAGTTCCATCATAATACATAATAAAGTGCCGAAACGCGACAATTCAAATATCACGCTCCATTTCACTGGTTACGTAAATTGAAATTTCGTAGAAAAAAGCACTTGCGCAATGCATAAATCCATTTCGGTCCCAGCCTCTCATGAGCAATTTCAATGAGAAAAGAGGTCAGGTTCCGACGAATGTTACAGGTAATTCAAACAGTTTTGATTTTCTCCTCTAGTTGAATTTTTGTTGACAAGCCTGTATATCCATCAATAATTTGGTTTTATTAGGTGACGAAATGGCGAGAAAGAAGCAAACATCAAATACCTGAAGGGTATTTCCACCTTCCACGAAGGTGGAAATATTAGTAACGACATTGGAAGCGTCATATCATCGTAGACAATAATGACGTAAGTTATCTTGATCTGATTGCGCAGATTAGGGGAAAGAGTTCAGCCGGTGTTGCGGCCTAACCTTGTTTCTTAAATTACATGGCGTCTGTAAAAAGGCTAGGCTAGTTTATGACACGCAGTCTGATCAAAGTGCAAAGTGTTGTAAAAGCTTTCAAAAAAGTATTGAGAGGCGCTTCAAGAATTCTGCTTCATTTTACCTTGATCATGTTGGTGCGCCCGAGAAAAGAAGCTTAAAATTTGAACATAAAGAAGTTATTTAAAATACTAAAATAGCCACTCCTTTACCATCATCCGTCACAGGAAGCTGTAAAATTAACCGCAAATTTCTTCGCTTTCCCGTCGGTTATTTATTATAATTTTTTTTGAAAGTTGGCTTATTCTTAGCCTCGTACAGTTCCTATTTTATAACCTACTTTTGTATAAATCTGTCAGAGCTAATCAAATATCTTTAGAAAAATGAAAAAAAATAGAATATCGGTAAAACCGATCGGTCATCTTACATGCATAGTAAAAGAACTCAAATGTTCCTAAAGAGCGACTTGATAAAATATTTTCGAAACCGAGGAGCACTAACAATGGTGGTGTAGAGAGAAACGAAAGGAAAAATGCATGCAATAACAGAGCACGTTGGGAAAAACCAAGGACAGCGTGACAAGAAGGAGAGTGAAGGAAGGGTGATTGCATAAATCTCATGAAAATCGTTACAATACCTCAGTTTAATTCAACTGGTTTGCAAAGAATTGTCATCATTTTGCTTTTAAATTCTTTGTGGATTCTCACCAATTTAAACTTGAAGTTAGTGGGTTACTCTACCGAAATCACAATATTCGGGATCATTAGACTAAAAACAAAAATGAGCTTTGCTTAAAATGCGTTTTTCAATCTCGTTAAAGGAACTACTGCCTTTTCCGCAGTTACTAATCTGCACAACAATAAATGCTAGTAACACTTTGCGCTACTTCTTACAAGTCATTTTCTACTGAATAGTGTTGTCGCATTGTTACAAAAATTCTAATTAACCCATCTAAACTAGTCTCTAAAGCTGAATTTTGCATCATAATCTGTTCCTACCTAGTATTTTAATATAGTTATCTGATCTATTGTTTATTTGTAAAGATCAGCTTTGAATGCTCGGTTACATCGTGTAATAAATGTCAGCTTTATGAATTCTGTACCCATTCCACTAACTACCAACCTAAAAAGCTATCGATCAATATCTTACTCATAAGAGGCGACCTCTATAGATACTAGTGGTTTTTCCTTTGCTTGGAGATGCAACGCAGCGGGCAAAGTGTCGAAGTGGACGAAAGATGTAAATGACAGTAAAGAGAAAACTGTCTTGCGTGCGCGCATGCTCGAGTTCATTCTAGTTTCGCGCTATGATACCTCTGCAACTCTACTGCTCAGCTCTGAGTAAGAGGCAACATTGACTCAAACCACTGAGAGAATAATTACAACCAAAAAAAAACGTTTTGATAATATTCCCTTGAAAGGAGATTCAGGTATATTCCTTTTCCAGGTATCATTCGTCGTGCTTTTGCAAACAAATTTGCCCGCAACTACATGATGAACATCTTTGAATGTAAATAGCATTTCCTCCCTAATATAGGAAAAAAACTTTGAATAACTCTGATACTTGAAAACAAGAAAAATACAACTATGGGATGGCGCGTGGTATTCTGTCGGGCACCAGTAATTATTTATCACCTGGGGAGGGGGAGTGGAGAATTCTGGGAAGATTAATTTACTACTCTTTTTTTAAAGGAAACGGATTGGGGATCAGTCAACTGACTGCCAATGAAGAGGGGGTCATAAGAATACGACAGAGCCTTGGGGGGTATAGGGTAAATTTCATTGTGACACAACAAAAAATCCTCTTACCTACCCCCCCCCCTCACCCCCATCCCCTAGGCGATAGATAATGATCGGATGACTGGTCCCTTATTAGTTGTTGATAATGTTTCTTATTTCAAATAGTGTCTCGTTTAATTCACATATGATTAGCGTCGCTCGAGCTCCTGTTCTTTCCTTTTCTCAAAACTTGGAAGAGTAGAAAGATTGCTTCGGATGTCATTCATACCTCGATCAAAAGCTAGTTCCGGACATGTTCTTAATAATTCTCTCATCATTGAGACGACATCCACTTTGTGGTATCGCTTGATGAAAATGTCAATCATCGAATTGAAGATCGAGGAGGTAATTGGTATTAATGGAGAACCAACAGATAGCATCTCAGGAACCTTACGAACGATTTTCCCCCTTGGAGCACCAACCACGATTTTCGTGTGATATGGAAGCGATGACAACTTGGACGCCACACATTCTGATAAAACATCATAATCGTAAATTGATTTCTCTTCATCGATGATGAAAGCTAGAAAAATCGCGGTGAATTTCTCTGTTGAACGAAAATAACAACAAAATATAAATAAAAAGAACAGAGACTAAGAAAAGCAAGCAATTGTTGACGAAGATAAGCCGATAAGCTTGTCTCAATACGAATTTGTGTCACTGACAAATAGTTTATGCATAATCTTTCTCTCCTTGCCCTGGACAAAGGGGTGTTAAGGTGATTCCTCAGTATCGCACTGCGCATTCTGTACTGCGCATAGGAATCACGTAATCAGGCTAATAAGCGCGCGCATTGTGACAACATGGTATTCTTTTTTAATTAATAGACCAGGTAAAAAGGTACGATAGTTTTTAGCTCTTGAACGAGCACGGTGACCTATATTTTCTATTGCGTAATTTTGGAGTACAAATTATCCCCTTTAAATTGGGGCATTAACAAAAAATTATTCGAAGGGAAAAAAAGATGGTTAAAATTATGCAAATTATGACCTTGAAAGGAACGGCTCGGGGAACTTTTTGAGTCGGTGTCGTTTAAATTTGCGCGTTTTTCTCCACAAACTATATATCAAATTGATCCATACGCTCGAGACTTTCTACCTATCGAATTTTTCAAGTGTTACTTTAAAAACCATTGTTTTCAGCTGCAGCAAAACGTACTGTGAACCGATGAAATGACGCGCGTGATTAGTGTCAGAACAGGCACAAATGGGGTAAGTTTGGTTCATCATATCTCTTAAACAAGCCCCTTTTTTAATTTAATTTTTCGAAACAGACATTGGTGAGGGACATTTGAGGAAAGTTTAAAAAAAATTGTTCGACATCTTATTTTTATGAGGAAACATCTTAACTGAGCCAGTGAGAAATGAAGATACACTTATCGCGCTGTGGAATTAAAATCAATGCTAGTTAAAATTCATTTTACGCCGTTCTTTTGGTTCCTGTGTTTAGCATGTTTGACTTTGGCGAAATGATAACGAAACGAGATCACATGTCATGTCATGAAGATTATTTCGTGGGCCAATTCCTCAGCTGATGTTGTTTCGTATCCTTCAAACTGCTCTCAGATGAGTGAGCCTCAAGGTTTGTTTCTTTTGTGTTTCAAACCTTGATATAATTAACTATTTCACACAATCGATACTCTGTTATGCATAGAAAGAGGTTTACAACCAACCTTGATTCTGAATCCAGTTGTCCATTGTAGACGTTATGATCGTCTTAGTCTCCTTATTCTCTTTCAGTTGCTCCTCCACAAGCAGTTCGTTCATCTCCATTTCTTTTTCAAGCCGTGCGACATCAAAATTTATCTGAGAGACCAAATTACCCCTTCTACGTTTTGTGGTTGTAAACGGAAAATTTTCCCTTTTTTTTACCTTCTCGCTTTGTAGTTTCCAATGCATTTGCTCCTCGCGTAGTCGTTTCAAACGCTTTTGTTCCTGTTTCAAATCCTTCAGTTCCTTAAGCTTTTCTTCCGACCTAGAAGATCTAATTACAGTGACATCGTTCTGTGAATTTAATTCTTTAAAAAATTCCTCAGTCTTTTGATTGAGGTCTTTGTCCGCACTGTCATTCACTACCAGTACTACCACATTGTTGTGAGATTTTGTGGGAATATTACCAATGCGTAACGTCTCAACTTCTCTAGAGGAAAGGACAGGACGAAGTGAACTTGTTTTCAACGCCTTCTCCAGAAGGTCAACAAGATCATACATTTGAAGTGCCTCGAAACATTGCCTCATTAGGTCAACAGGAGTGTTTGGAAAGCTATGTGCAATCTGCCTCATACAAGAAACATGACTGGAAGGTCTAAAGTCCACTTTAAGACCAAAAAATCGAAAAACCCTATCCAACGCAACTTTATCTGCAGAAAGTTTCCGATCCATTTCATGTAATGACCCTTCCCCCAGATCTTTAACGCAAAGTGTACTGGAATCTGAATAATGTTAAAAGGAAAAATAACGATTAGAAACATTTGATTACGTTGAATTTCTCCACAAAGGCCACCTTTGGGACCGAGAAGAGCGACCTTTGACGGACGGATTGTTTTCATAATGGATGGCGTGTGATGTAGCATTTTCTGATGGATGAGACATATTTTTTTTATGTTTGGGCAGAAAATGTCCACAAAAGAAAACGAGTAATGAAGCAGTTTTTAAAATGTTCACCTTTGTTGTTGGAAACATTTGTGTTGTCTGCCTAAGCGAATCACCACGCAGTGTAATGTTCGTCTGCCGGTGATTAAACAGTCGTTGTCGAGTGATTATTTTGGCTGCATGAACGACCTAAATGGCTGTCGACGGGGTGAAAAGGGGGCCACATCTTTTCAGAAGAGAACACTTTTTGTAAAGGCAATGATTACGGTAATGGGCCGTACCCTATGTTGGTCTTCTTATAGGTTTATTTTCATTGGATAAACGAAAAGCAATATTGATGTTCTCTTTTGCAGCTCGAGTGCTACGCCCAAAACTGCGTGTAAATTAAAATGAAAACAAAAATGAAAATACCTCTTTCTTCTTCAAACGCAAATTTGGATTTGACTTCTCGCAATAAGCTGTGATTGACAACCCTCTTCCTTTCCTTTGCTCTTTGCAACGAGTCATCGTTAACATTGTTTCATTAAAAATAACAACCGAAACGACAGTTAAATCAGTTTTACCTCTCACATCTTCTGTTTCCTCTTCGGACACAGCAGTGCGTGCTCCCAAACCACTGTCACTTGCCTCAGTCGTCAAGCTATATGTCTCTTGCACATTTTCTATATACCTCTGTACAAGATCCATTTTTTCTGCGCCCATAAATTTCATTGTTTGTTTACTCTCGCGTCTTTCTGATCCTTCCATCTTTAAAATGTCTTTCTCCATTGTCGTGGGGTCCCATGGTTTGTAATCTAAGACAGATTACCTCACAGTTAGAGCCGTGATAACTATGGTAATAATGATGATAATAATAATAATAAATATAATAATAATAACAATAATAATAATAATAATAACAATAATAATAATAATAATAATAATAATAACAATAATAATGTGTAATGAGGGAACCAAACTCGCCAAGGCGGTTTTCAGTGGTGATCTACGTTTTCATTTTTTTGGGAACTTGGTAACATAACAATCAAAACGAAATGCCGAGGATGGTAATTCATGACAACGGAAAAACACAAAACAACCAGACAAACGAACAAACAACAACACCTTAGTCCTATAGTGTTGAATTTCACAATCAGTTCTTACCAAAACTTTCATCGTATGATCCTAAAGGTGCGATGTCCACTTTTTCCAAAGAGTGCGATCCCAAATTCTGGTTTTTTTCCTCCAGAAGTGTAATTCTGTTGTGGAGATATTTTAATTCAGTTTCTAGACATTCAAGCCTTGACAATGGTAATTCTTTTGCGTTGAAATACACAGCTGAATCAGAGTTTCGCCGTTTTCTTTCAACACTGTCAATCGTTGCACCTCCTAAAAGTAGTAGAATAAAAATCAATAATGGTAACTTTAAAACTTATATTATTAGCACGATAACTTTGACTTCAAATGAACGCACTATAAATAAGCAGAAGGAACAGATAAAAACTTTAGTTAAATTGCTGAAAAATGGTGCCAGTATCTTATTTCGGACTTGCAAGATTAAGGGTGGTAAGGTTGACAATCTATTTGGTGAACAGCCACAAATACATTAATATGCGGAAACGAAAAAAGATATGCATCAAGGAACACTTAACACGATCCGTATGGAAATCCGGGCTCATAAATTCGCTAAAAAATGAGTCAAACATAGCAATGCAAGGTCACCTTGGGCCCCTTGTATGAGCTCGACACAAGCTTTCTGATATTCGCCTTCATCGATGGTGACATTCACCTCCACATCCTCTCCATCGGCGAGTTCTCTCACCTCATCAGTGACAAAGAAATCGTGCAGATGTTTTTGAAGGGTTCCATCCTGATACAACTTCCACAAAAGTTTAAGAGCTGATAAACTTTCAGCTTGAACTGTGAGGCACACACAGCCATCTGTGATTTGAACCAGCCTTGTGCCGGCTGGAAGCACACAGGTTTGTACGGCTGCAACCAGCTGATCAAATGAGGACCAACGACTCAAAACCTCCATGGCAGAGACGACTGTAAGGCCGCCAGCAACTACTTTGAATACTGTTTTAATGTTCACCACTGAAAATAATAAAAATATATATATATGTTTTGTGATATGACTCATTCTACAAAGGATGGTGGTGTTGTTTTTCCAACTAATTCGAGCCGCAAAAAAGAATGCGGTTTCACGTTGACTCTTTGTTGGAGAAAAGACTTTTAGATAATGGCCCTGTCCTCTACTCCCTTATTGTCTTAAACTGTCGCGTCCAAGGTACAGGGTGAGCCCTTTTAAGAGAATTTACCAAAAAATTTTGTTACTGGCTTACCTCCTACCAATGTGCTTCTGACGGATGACATAAGAGCAGCTCTTTGTGCTATATAAATGGAACAACAGGTGTCAGTCAGTTTAGTGAACTACAACTCTATCAAAGAAAGCTGTCTCAGGTTCTTTCTCTCTTTCATGAGATTTACATTAAGAGTGCTTAGTAACTAAGTCAACTGCACCGTTAAATAAGCCCACTTGAAGGTTAAGGACAAGGATCTCAAGATAGTCGGTAACCTACTCAAGGAGGGATACTAAAACAAAACAGTTCTTTAGGAGGTAAATATTGTGGTGGAAAGCTCCCCTGCCAGTCCTCTGAGTTAATAACATGATTTTTCATATCACATGTGGCATATCTCCCTACTTTCTCGAGGCTAAAACTCAGAGGATTTACAGCCTCCTACGAGATGATGTCAAAGACAACCAGCCTACACACTTCAACATTCCTTAGGAAAGGAT